GAATAAATCGTCCGTAGAATTTATTTAACTCTGTCCGCTGAAAATTTGTAAGAATGAAATTTTCAATATGTTCATAGTGTCGTAATCTCTTTTCCTCGTTTGTGAAATCGCCGAATTTGTATTTATCATGATCAACATGACGAGTACCACTAGTGAAACAGGATCTGCTCACCCTTTCGGAGCACCTGCTATCCCCACTTTCTTTTGGGGTTAATGTTTATCAGTCTGTTAATGTTGTGTTTAGTAAACTTGTTAATTTTTTGTCGTCTTTTGATTTATGCCCTGCCGTTATCATTTCCTTTTCGACTTATGACTTTTGAATGACCCCTTTGTATCTTTTGTCTCTTTTTTTCGGATGTCAATCTGATATGGTAGCTGTATCCCTGGCAGTTGTTTGCCACATTTAGTTGATAGAAAATCTGGCAGATGAGTATGGTTTATATTCATTACATCGACAATTTTTTTCTCTTCGAGCATAAAAGATAGTTTGTTTCATCATCGATCGAGTCAAACCAAAGAGTTGAATCCTTTTCAGCTAAGCATTCTGCAACTATTAAAGTCTTGACTATCAACTACAAACAATTTTATGATGGTGTCTTTATCAGAATTATCTGTTTGTTTATTTGAAATTTGTTTTTCAGTAAGTTGTGTTGTAATATCCTTGATGTATGTATACATAATTTTTGCTCCTGGATCCCAATAATTGTCATGTAAACCAATTATTATAAAAATAAGGAGATGTGGTATGAATGCCAATCAGAATATCCACAAAGGTTCAAATGAAGTGGATGGAAGCAATTATAGGCAACAGTAGGGAAATGTCTGTTTGGGTTCAAACAACTTTGCCAATATGACGGAACTATATACGACTGTCATACAAGTGGGAGGTTTAGCTAGCTATAAAACCAGGTTTAATCTACAATTTCTTCGGAAAATACATGTACTTTGTCAGGAATAAGACACTTGTTTTCCATTCGTTAAGTTGGTTAATATAGTTAAGCGTTTTTATTTTGTCATGGTATATGGACTTTTTGTTAATACATTTTTTTTACTGGGATTAAATATATTGTGTCCGAGGTATATTGTCGTGTTACTGTTATGATATGAGCTATCACGTTAAAATGTGACTCAGGGTCTCGGTCTTGCACTAAGCATGTTACGTTTATATCTGAAACTACAAAGATTCACTAAGATTGTTAACATGCTAAAAGGTCACTGAACGCCGTGACAAAACAAATAAAGCGGAGCAAAGTAATAAATCTGATTTTAATCAGAAAGACTAAAAAAGAATACATGTAAAAACTGTATAATATAACTTCAATGCCAACTGGTTTTTTTTTCAAACTTGTTTCCAGAAACGGTTGAAATCTAGACAATGTTGAAAGTTCAATACCTGTCAATTTCCCTACTGAAGCCTGTTTACCTGTATGGACCCATAGTTCTGAATACTAGTAGACATTTGCGGAAACTGTCGTACACTTACGATTAGGATTACTTACAGGTAGCATTTAAATCTTGGGTCGTTTCAATTAATTATATTTAGATATTTAATTTAAAGATTATTACTTCATAAAGTAAATGCAAATTGTATTAAGCTAGGTCCAAATAAATGTAGCTTTTTACTGTCATATATTTTGTAAGTACGAAAAAGACCGTACGAATATATTTTTTTTTCATTTTTTTTAATTCCACCACGATTTAAAGTTATCATGCATTCGTTCTAAAAATTAATACTTTTTGACAAGATAAAAGTTAAAAGATACGAAGAGCCAGTACACATTTTTTAGAAAGCGACAATTGTAAAATCTGTTTTAAGTCCGAAGAAGATTATTGCTTACACATTCATTACTACTTTTGAAGCTAGTGAAATTTTATCTTAATGTTTAAAGAATGATGAATGATAAATAGTTTGATTATCGATTGTCAGTGAAGAATGTCAAAATATTCAATGTCAAACAATACGACTGTAGTATTTTTTCGAGTTACTTGTTTTCAGGCGTTGAGACCCCTTTGGTGACCCCGTACGTTTAAATGTCCCTTGTGAAAACAATGTATTAAGTAGGCATAACAGACAAACGGTTACCTTATCTGATCCAGTTAATTGGAGAATTGAGCGCGACAACGAATGGTCTCGTCTACACTGTTATGAATTTGATTCTAGTTGAACAACGAGATTTCAAAGAAATATCGATAAAAAAATTGCATCTTGGCAGCTTGATGTGGAATCGGGACTACTCGGACCCAAAGGCAAATCGGACTAAGACAACTCGGGCCAATTTAAAGTCAACTCGGACCACTTTTATAGACAGCTCGGACCAGTTTGAAAGACAACTCGAACCAATTTGAAACACTTGTCAGACCAGCGGCTCTTCGTATTTTTAACGTTTAATATGATATTTGTTTGTTTTTGTCTAGATATTTTTCTTCTCAGTTACCTCCAACTGACCATCTTAGCTTGCTGTGACAACTTGTCAGTTTGGTGCATTTCAATAAGTTCTGTTACCATAAATTGTTTTATGACGGCATAACGAGATCAGTTAGAAAAATAAAACAACAAATATCTTTCAATGCAATGAAAATATAAAGCAGATATATATTCGTCTTTACATATACTGGCCCGTGTTGTAATAAGTGATCCTAGAAATCTTTCAAGATGGTTGAAATGCCTTTTACCGTCAGACACCAAATGTTAATTTTCGACTATCGTTAGCGACAACTTCATTCAATTTATATTGTGGTTTGTCAAATTATCCTCATTTATCAGAGGTCTCAATTATTTATACTTTACCGTTATAATTGGAAAAAATATACCATGATTCGTCAAAATCAGTTGATTTTTTTTATCGCCATGGAGAAATGAACTCTATGTGTCTTTGTGGAGTTTTTGTGGAGTTTTTTTTGTATTTTCGTCCTTTTTCTTTTGACCATGGTGGAGTCTTTTTTCTTCGACTTACGGGTTCTAAATGCCCCTTTGCATCGTTTCCTCGTTTAAAAAGAAATAAAAATAACATAAACATGCATTACATCTTCAATTAAATCAAGAACTCTCGTTTAAATATTATTAAAGTACTCAGGTTGTCTTTTAAAGTACACGGATGTCTGTGAATCCTATTTTAGATTTAATGCAAGTCAAACATGTTTTGTAAACGATGATTTTTTTTTATTTCTTTAGAAATAAAGTAGTTATATGTTATCAAATAAAACTATATTATTTTTTATTTCTTTAGAAATAAAGTAGTTATATGTTATCAAATAAAACTATATTACATCATTCTTGACTTACATGCTCTTTGCTTGTAAAGATATTTGAATGCACACGCATATTAATTGGATCCGAATCTTAATCAAACATATGACACATCATTTATAACGAGATATTCTTATATTTCATTAGGAATAAATCATAAGCTGATATTTTAAAAAAATCGCCAACGCGATATTTACTACATGTATCATTAACGTCAAAAACAGTAGAAAAATACCGTTTAAATTATTTGGTAAGATTCAAACGTTATTGTTAAAAAAAAATCACACACTATTTTAGTCGGTTAGGGAGCATTTGCGGATACAAAAGTGTAAACGTATAAAAGATGTACGACTCCCAATTACTATATACCGCCCGCTTTTGTAAAGGAGTGGAACTATTAATACGGAAAAAAAATGAATAAATGATAAGTGTATTTCGTGCATTTATTTTATTTTCCCCCGTTATGGACGAAGAACACAGATTAATCATTGCAGCATTACCTGCCCTGATGCAGACTCCACCAGATGTAAGGTACACATTTCATTCGCCATCTGATTATAACCCTGGTAGTCCTAGCTTGACCACCGACAAACCAATCTTTTACAATCAGGGAAATATTATAGGCAATGATGTATACTTTTGGAATGGGAGGAATGTGTTTACTTGTTTTGCAAGCAAACGATGTTCCTTTTACAGGTGAAACTGATGAAACGTTACTTTAAATTGTAGCCGATGTTAATGGTCTCTTCAGACAGAGAACCGGTCGGGATCATAAGCTTTCCCCGGGAAACAGAATTCTTCTTTTATGTTATGGTTACAATCGTACCCGTCTTATCATATGATTTCTGAAATAGTTGACCTTAGTGTTTCGACTACCAAAGATGAAACACATACACGTATACCTTAATCAAGAAACATATAACCGTCTTATCTATTGGCCTTCTTTGGATGATTGGCAGAACTTACAAGGTGGGTGGCCAAAACTTCCGTTTGCAGTAGGGCTATCGACGGAAAGATTGTGGCCGATAACGGATTTACAAGAATAATATTTTCCAAGACACAGACATTGTCACTGCATTCCACACTCAAGTTGTAATATTGAACGAAGACAGGAAATGTTATGTTGAGTGCGGATTTCTTTGGCATCAGCAATATATATATGTTGATAAGATATATAGGACAAGAATTACCTTTCCCGATTGAGCTGTTTTTGCTGGGCGACATAATATGTCCGAACAGATATCCAGTATTGACACCTTACAAGAGAAAAACCCCAGAAAATGCAGAGGAAGTGAAGAAAATTAAATAGACATATTACACACTATAGAGTAGAGGTTGAACACACATTCGGAGAATTAAAAAAAAAACCCACAAAGTTATGGGGACTTTGTGGCGAATCACATCTGTTGTGACCATAAGTTTCTGCATTTGTGTGTCGTCGAAAAGACTTATTTACATGATAAAAAAAAATCATTTCATTTTACTATGAATCTCAATTGGGTTTATTTTCTTATTTTGAGAGGATCCCTTGTTTTTTCGTCAACTGTAATCGTAAGTCTAAGTGTAATCCTAGGTATAAACCTAGTTTCCGCAAATGTCTACTAAGCACAAAGTTATAATAATGTATATTTTTTCCCGATGGTTAAAAACTAAAAGCATTTTGAACTCATTGACCTTGAGTTAATAACACTGACAGAAAAGATACTTTCATCTATATGTTTACTGAAAATATTTCAAAATTCAAAATACACTGATAACATGCAGATTACAATACGCAAAAGATCTTCTATTAGTTACTATCATGTCATATGTCTACGCTTGATAGATCGCATACATCCTGAAAATATGTCTCAAATAATGCAGTAACTCTTTTTCAAATTTCTTCCTTCCCTTTGTATGGATTATTATTGTCCATTTCACAGTATATTAGATTAAACACTAGTTTAAATATATTTTATCATGATAATAGCAAAAGGGGTTAATACAAGTAATGGTACATTAGTGACTTCCTCTTCCAAAACATTGGATATAATGTCATTTAAGAATATCAATTGATTCCACAAGTTAAATACTGTTTGTGTTTATTGATTTTCACACTTTATTTCTTCTATCTATTCAGTTTTGGTTATAATTGGAAGTTTGGTATCTACTGAGACTTCTGTCTTGCTTTCTCTGTTGGTCAATAGTTCAGCAAGGTACTTAGCCAGCTGTGCTTGTTTTCCGTCACACACGGAAAAGACATCTTGACTCTGAACTGGAGGATTTGTTCCATGAATAGGTACCACGTTTCTATTTGCTACTGTTACAAGGGCTCGTACAAGTTCCATTATCATTTCAGGTGATCCGATGTTACTTTCGACGCTCATGCTGCGCTGCATATTCAATCGTCCATTCTTATTTGGTATAGATTCTCCAATGCTCGTTACATAGCTAGATGCCTCACTTCCATAATAATTGCTATCGTCACTCATGTTACGGCTAAGTGGCCGTTTACTGTAGGGGTTGTTGGTCTTTGAGGTAATTTCTGAAGGTTTTACATCGTAACAGCACGTTACCCAAGGGACGCGTTTTAATAAGGCATTTCTGAACTTTGGATGACTGAATGCATACACGATTGGATTATGCATTGCGCAAGCTTTTGCCAACATTACAGGTATTTCTGCTACAACTGGTGTTACCCATTCTGCTGGTCCAAACTGACCAATCAGAGCAACCGTCGCATAAGGACTCCATGACAATATATATAACGTAACAATAATCATAGCAATTCTTGCAACTTTTATCTCCATACTTGCTTTGTTTTGTTTATTTCGGAGGTCGTCTGCCTTCAACTTATCTGCAACTTTCTCCATTTCCCGTTCGTGCTTTCTGATTGCCTTTAGGATTAGCACATAACAAACAACAGTGATTGCCAAAGGAACAACAAATCCGCCTAGATATAATCCGAATATGTATGATCGCATATGTGGCTCTGTACTTAGGTAGTCAAAAGTACAAGATGTCTGAAACCCTTCTGGAATATAGGCTCCCCAACCAAATATTGGTGGAACAGCCCAGATTAGAGACCAGGCCCATACACACAGGATCATCATTAAAGCTTTTCTTCTAGTCATGTTCTTAGCAGCAGACAGTGGTTTTGCAATATTAAGATATCGGTCAATGGATATTGCAGCCAAAGTATTGATCGACATCAACCCAAATAATCCTCCGATGAAGCCATAAAACTGACATGCTGAAATGCATAAGAAAATATTGGATAAAATAGTCACAAATCTGGTATGCTGTAATACTTTGGAAAATATTAAACAAAGTGGACATGAACCTATTAATGTCGACGCTTTAATTTGAATGACCCTTTTCATATCACTATCATCAAAAATAAAGAGAATCGCATGTCTTACATAGGTTGTGATTTATGTACAATTTTGAAGTCATTGATGAATTTTTATATCAAATTCATTCAACAAGGACTTGATGATTAGGACTAAAAAGATGTGGTTTATATATTTATCCAATCGATATGTATTTGTTCCCATAACAATAGCAAAATATTTCTAAACTTATTATATAATATATAAAAAAGCATACCCCTCCCCCATTTGTATCTACAAAATTCTGAGTTAACTTGTGTTTCTAAACGAAACAATGACAAAACAGTTTGTTTGCATATGTTTAAATATATTCAATAAAAATTAATGAAACTTACCAGTATCTCCCCACATCCATTTTCGATTAAAAGCAGAAATACTTAGTAAAGGGAATCCGTTAACTGCTGAAAAGATAAGGTCACTGACAGCCAAATTGGTGATCAGCATGTTTGATGGCGTTTTTAAGCTTTCGGTCCTGAAAAATGTTAGAAAGAAAGAAGAATAGCACAGTTGTTAGCAAAAGCTATCTAAAAAGACAAGCATGCAAAAATATAAAAGTTATACATTGATTTTAGTGTATGTGCTTCTAGAATAACCTTCATGAGGTACGCTCTAGAATGAAACTCCTTAAAATGCGAATACAAGATCTATGAAAAGAAATTTATTTATTCAAAATGTATCATTTAATGCATTTATCAAAGCACGTGCAAACAGGTTGGGAGTAAATTCCGGAACTGATCGTCTACAAGTTACGATATGTATAGGCCCAGTGAAAATAGTTAAAAAAACATATGATGCCGGTAAAAATTAGTACGTCATGTGTCTTTTCTTGCATTTAATGGAGAGACCGAAACGTATTAAACTATATAAATGAAGGGTTTCAAAAAAAGAAAATACCTCTGAAATTATTTTTTGTCTCGTTGGTAGGAATTCGCCGATGGAATTTTTCTCAAAAATAGGCCTGATTTAAACTTTGATGATTAATGTCGGAACTATGAGAATCCTAATCCATGCACAGATACAGCTTGGTTTAGTTTTTATTTATTTTGACTTATTTGGCATGTAGCGATAAATGAGCAACAAAAAGGTAAAAGATATCAGTGAAACCTCTTCAGTGGCCATGGCTTTCATTATAAATAGATCATAATGATAGTTTATTGTCCTTTATGAAATGTGTTGTGTGTGGCACATAGTATTGTCGTTTTGTTGTTGTTGAATTCATTCATGCATTTAGAGCGTGAAAAATGATATGGACAGCTGTCTATACTCGGATACCGATATCTTAATTTCATTGGTTTGGTTGCTATCTTATTGACAAATATCCAACATTACATTTTTTCATATGAATATTTTACATGGAAAATATATGATGTCTATTCTTGCATTACCCGTCACGCGGTTCCAACTAAAAAAAAATCAACATTTTACACCGTTGACATAACATATTTTACGATTGAGTTACCCATATTGTAGAATACTTACGTGCTGAAAATCCATATCACAATTGAGTTTCCAATGATCCCAGTGAGTCCAACAATAGTGATGTAGACTCCCACCATAAAATGCCAATGGTCCGGTACAAGGTCGAATTGTTTCCAGTGAGGATGAATATAATAGCCGTACGTATCATACACACTAGTAGTATCATTGTATGTGCTAGTGGTCAGAGCGACTTCATGGTTTAGATCTGATGTAAACACTTCAAAATATGAATATTATGTATTGCTAGATTTAGTCCACAAAGTAAACTTTTTTCCATTCCTTTTACGATAGATTTCTGTAGTTTCTGAAAATGACTATCAGCTTTGAATGCTAGACTGAACCTTGTAAAACGTCTCAAATGTTTTGAAAACTCACGTTTAAACTAATTATAATTAAAGTTTCAAAGTGAATCATTTACAGAACCAACAACAATTTCATATATAAAATATTTTTTTCACTTACCCGACATTATTAGCTCCTACAGGACGAAATGATAATTTTACCAACTCCATGCAGAATTTATATAGTGTATATGGTTATATTATTCAGTTTAATTTGTAAGAGGATGATAAAGGCGGAGGCAAACGTTGGTAACCATTTTTGTAAAAATAATCAGCTTAACTTTGTTATATACCTATTTTAAGAAAAATTATATACTAATTTTGATCCATCCACTGTTTCATCTTACATGTGATATCATGCTCACGTTTATTTATAAAAATGAAATACGTGAAACATTGACATCACGTGATTGACATTCAGTAAAGGTCAAATATATATATACTAGTAAGTCAAAATATTATGGCATGTCCAAAATAGAAAGTGAAAATTTTGAAAAAAAATATTGGATATTATAAATTCTATATTTACGGAAGAGAGGCGAAAGATACCAAAGGGATAGTCAAACTCACAAGTCGAAAACAAACTGAAAATAAAACAGTATACAAAACACAACAGAGAAAACCAAAAACTGAGTAACACGAACACTAGCGAAAATTGGGGTTGATATCAGGTGCTCCTGTTGTGTTGCTCATCTAAGTACAAACCCGTTGATATGTTTAATTCGGAAGGTCAGATACGGAGAAAAGAGGATGGGATTATAGTTACGACAAATGGAACATATCCGTCGTCATCTTTGAAAAAGATTTTCCATAACGGTCAACCAACTCGTGATGGCGTCCATAAAATTTTCGAATAGATGATTTCAACTTCACTACTTTGAAGTCTTGTTTTAATAGCTTCCTTGTAAGCAGCAACAAAATATCAAGGAAAACATGATGGGGAATGCAAGCTCTGGAATTTTGTTTTAACTGGGAGATATCAACTCAATATGCAGGCGGTGCTGGAATGTTGCTACATAGAAAAGGAAAGTTAACAATTGTAAACATCTCTTTAGTCGTAAAGTTTTGTCCTCAACAGACCATCATTGTCAATTTCCAGAGGTAAGTCAAGATATAAGGCAGACTTAACTTTAATTGTTTACATAAGGAAATGCCTGTGCCAAGTGAGGAATATGACAGTTGTTTTCCATTTGATGTGTTTGAGCTTTTGATTTTGCCATTTGATAAGGGACTTTCCATTTTGAATTTTCCTTTGAGTGCGGAATTTCTGTTATTTTACCTTTTATCAGTTGTATCCTTTATTTCAAGTTCGATGGGATATATGTGTTCAACATATTCAACAAACTTTGAAATATTGAGGTGAGGACGTCGTCTATATAGCGGGAAGTGAAGCTTAAGGATAGTACTAGCTTCTTTTCATTCTTCTTAAGAAGCTCCAGTATGTGGTGAGCCTCATATGAATAATGGAACACGTCGGCAAGAACAGGAGCACTATTGGTTCTCATGGGAATGCCAATTGTTTTTGTTGTTCTTTTTGTCCTCCAAAGGTAACAAATATGTTGTCAATCAAGAAGAAAATGCATGAAACAGAAAAACGAACAAAAAAGATGGCTATTGACAGACTTTGGCAAATTTGGAATTATTACCTTGAAATGAATTCTTGGTACAGCTTTGATAAAAATTAGATTTATGTTGTTTAAGGATGCCTTTTAATGTAGAAACCTGTCAAATTTGCGATAATTGCCCCTTAAAACAAAGTGAATACTCTTTAAAAAACCGTTGTTTTTTAAGGAAGCAAAAAATATAGATATATTCGAGTACGTTTTACTGAAGAAATGATTGTAAATGAACACGTTCAAACAACTATTTGAAGGTATTTAATATATTCTACGGTCCTTTGAAAGACAGTTTTTCTCTATTGACAGTTATGGTTCTCAACTCCGAATATTACTTAAGCTGTCTGACAGATCGGACAACGCCCATATTCTTTATGTGCTTTTCCCAAATCATGAGTCTGTAATCCAGGGCATGCCTACCATGTATGTTTTTGTTTATTGTTTTTAGAATGGATCAGACCGCTGGTTTTCTCTTTTAAGATGTTTCATATTCACGTACCCACCATTTTCTTTGGAAAATGCATGTACAGAGTTAGGAATATGGCAGTTGTTTTTCACTTGTTCTGTCGTTTGATTTTGTCAGTTTTTATGGACTTGTCCTTTTTGAATTGGCCTTGGCGGTCGGTATTTTTGTTATACTTTTTTGCCAGTGTGGGGCAATTAAAAGCTGATTATACAGTATGGTTTTGCTCATTGTTGAAGGCCGTACAGTGATCTACAGTTGTTTACATCCTTGTCCTTTGATCTCTTGTAAATAGTTGTCTCATTTACAATCTTACTGCATCTTCCTATTATTATAAACTATTATTATACCTTACATATATTATAAAGAAATTTTATTGGGTAACACGTTATCACGTGACATGGAATAATTCAGTTAATTTTCATTTACTTGCAAGGAAGAACGAATAACCCTAAAAATTTACACCAGCGGTGAATAACTCTATTATTCACTGGCGAATAACCTTTTGAGTTTCTTGATTTGTACACGAGTTATCTCCCATGAAAATGACGTCACATACGTATGTCGTAACTACAATACCCTTCCCTTTCCACGAATGTGAACTACCGAATTAGACTATTTACCGGATTTGTAATAACATAAGCAACACGACGGGTGCCACATGTGAAGCAGGATCTGCTTACCCCTCCGGAGCACCTGAGATCACCCCCAGTTTTTGGTGGGGTTCGTGTTGCTTAGTCTTTAGTTTTCTATGTTGTGTCATCTGTACTATTATTTGTCGATTTGTCTTTTTATTTTTGGCCATGGCGTTGTCAGTTTGTTTTCGATCTACTATGAGTTTGACTGTCCCTCTGGTATCTTTCGTCCCTCTTTCTTAAGTAAACAAAATGTTAACATTCACGTTACAGGAAGCCCATCGAGTGACGAGGAAACAAGGCTTTGGACATGCATCTAGTGCCGATGGTATCTCTTATAAACGTACCTTTTCAGGGCCATCAATATTTTACAAAAAGATTCTACCTTTGTTGTACATACGAGAAATTCTAAGACACAAATGTATTTTCGAATGTCAACTTGTGTTTGTTACTATAGTAAGGTAAGTGCCTTTTCAATGGTTCAAAAGGCCATTCTACTGTTAGTTCGGTATAATAAAACAATTGTGGCCCCTAAGAAGCGATGAATATCCAAAATTGTCAACCCTTAAAAATTATTTTACTTCGGGATGCGCCCTCAGTCAAATAACCTTCTCGTGTTGACAATTTTCGATATTCACCTTTTCTACTGGCCATAATTGTATATGATTTAGACATTAGTATTTTGCTTGATAATAATTATGGTTGTTTTGAACATAAAATATACTTTTACGTAATGATTGACATATCGATGGTGATTATCTATGCCACAAGTATTGCAGATTTTTTCAATGTAATGATTCCATGAATCACAGTTTAATGGGGACAAACTGCTGAGATATCAAACGAATCAATTTTAAACAGTACCGGCAGATATTTAGACGATGTATTCTCTGTAAACAATCATAATGTTTTTAAATCGTACTTTGTTAAAAATCACTCTGATATTAACAATAAATTCTCTGAAACTGACGTTATCAAGATGCATGATTTCTTGATTGACAATATATTTGTTACGTTTGGAGAACGTGTTTTTAAACAAACAATCGGCATTCCAATTGGAACCAACTGTGCTCCTCAACTTGTTCCTTTATTCATATGAAGCTGACTTCATACAGGCGCTTCTCAAGAAGAATGAAAAGAAGCTAGCATTATCCTTAAACTTCACTTTCTGCTATATAGATGATGTCATCTCACTTGATAATTCTAAGTTTGGTGACTATGATGAACGCATCTATCCCATCGAACTTGAAATAAAGGATTCAACAGATACAATAAAGTCTGCCTCATATCTTGACTTATATCTAGAAATTGACAATGAGAGTCGGTTGAGAACAAAACATTACGACAAAAGATATGATTTCAGCTTCCCAATTGTAAACTTTCCATTTGTATTTAGCAACATTCCAGCCGCGCCTGCTTATGGAGTATATGTCTGCCAGTTCAAACGATATTGTAGGGCTTGCGTTTCCTATTCCAGTGTCACTGATGGATCTTTTGTAGACGAAACATGCGTCTGGCGTATAAATTTTTCATCTTGGTATCTATGATGAGTTTATTCATAACTATATTTTATGCCATTTGTCATGAAAGTAAACAACACATCGAAATAAATATACAACAGAGAAGACATTTAAACGGATTTAAGATGAAGAACATCAACGAAATCTTATTTTTGACATAGGATTACTTCAATAACACCAATGTTACTGCAGGAGATAAGTCTTTAATTTAATTTAAAATATTTAGTTAGATTGTTTTCTGATATTCAGAGACCCACGTCCCTTTGATACCTATTCATTACCATGCATATGTCTTATAAAGTACTTTGAAGGTCTCAACAGAATAATCAAAACAAGTAACCCCTTAACAATCATAGATTAACAGAAACACAACAGCGCATGGATTAGATTGTCAAATACTACCTAAAGAGGATATCCAAAATCAATAACGCCTAAACATTATTTTGTCTATTTACTCCTTAGAGCTTCAAGCCTACATAAACGTAGCTTCCGTGATTTATTTTAATGCAAAAGTAAGGGCTTATTATTTATGGAGAAAATCTTTGACTTAGGGTTGCATTTGTTAAGCGTTTGATATCCATAAAAAGTTGGCTTAGTCACTAACGAGAAATATGTCCTTGATAGATGAAGCATAACGATGGTGATCTATGACACAATTGTTCCGTAACGGTCACCCAAGGTATAATGGCGTCCGTTAAACTTTTGATGAGACGGCTTAAATTAACGAATCAGGATTTATGTTAACTTGTAATTTCCTCGAGAGTAAATAACTTCTCCTTATATTTATATTTATAAAGGAAATTCCGTTTAAGGCTCTTAAATATAGTATCAACTCTTAACATACAGTTCATGATATACAGATACTGTTATAATGTGGTTCCGTCATTACAAGAG